AATTCCCAGTGCCTCAAAATAAAAACACAATAAAAATAAAAAGTAATCAACTAAAATAAAAACAAGATCCATAAAAATTCTTTAGCGTCCCTTTTTCAGTGAATTGGGAAGTGAGGGTCAGACGTTTGCAGGGTTGTGTTATTTGAACTACTGGAAGCAGGTGATTTTATAGAAAGCGTCGATCTAGTTCAATCTGGCTATTTCACGGAGGAGGGGTTTTGACCAAGAGCAGGGAGGAGATTCTTTGGTAGGAGTGTGCTGCCTGGTGGTGCCGGGTGGAAGAGTCTGACACCAGACTGGGGTGGGGTACACTGTGCACAAGTCTGTGCGCGGGTACTGAGACCCTGACGACACTCAGTGGAGCAGCGGTGCCCGCAGGAGGGGTCTCCGCCCTGTCCCTCCTCCGGCCGCTTGCCCCACAGGTGACACAGTGTCGCTGGGACGGGCAGAGCTCAAGTGTCCTGCGAAGGGCCGAGTGCCTCTCACCTGCCGGCAGCCGGGGCAGAAGCCGCGAGCCTGTGCAGTCCCTTGCGTAACCCGTGTCCTCGCTATGGAGGCTTCGAGTGCAAACGTAAATATTAGTCATCCTCCTCCCATTAATTATTGTCACGTAGATTTAAGGGGTCAGAGACTTGGAAGTCAAGGCCTCGTTCAGTGTGGGAAAAGTAACACCGTGCACCCTGGCTGCTGTTTTTCTTTCTGGCTCACTGCAGACCAGTGGTTCTGCCCAGCTCAGCTGGCAGCAAAATGCTAATTGCGAAGGCAGCTCCTGGGCTCGCAGGTGGGAAGGGGACGCGTGGCAGTCGCTTCTGATGGCGGCAAGGCCGGGAGCTCGGAGGCGACCCCAGGCTCCCGCCCTGAATTGGGACACCCTGGCCCGCTCCTTCTGTAGGACCATGTGACAGTCTCTAACGACACACGGTTTTCCTTCCTGCAAACGCACAGGGAAAGCCAGCATCTCCATGTGCTGTTTTACTTGCAATCACTCAGGTGGTGTGGCCTGGGGTGGGGAGACAGGACAGAGCCCAGGTCCTGGCCCAGGCCGGCTGTGAGGCTTGGCATGCTCTGCAGGGCTTGGAGCCTTAGCGCACTGCGAAATGAGAGTAGAGAGTAGCCTGTGACATAGGTAAAGGGGGTGGAGGAAGCAGCGGCAGAAACCGCTGCCATAAAAGACCTGCCTGCAGTCTTGATCAGCCCAGCACTGCCCGCTCCTCCTGGAGGGGCTGGAATTTTACCTGTGCACCTTGGGGAGATGGTGCTTCTTGATAGACTCTGTATTAAGATCAAGTCCAAAGTAAAGAACACACGTGGAAGAAAGCCTGAAGGAGCCGGCGTTTAGCGGGCACAGACATCACGGGAAGATGCTCCGAGCCCACAGCCAGATCAGCAGGCGCAGCACTCTGAGCCAGCGCCGGGCCGGAAGCCTTCACCTGGCAGACAGGTGGAGAGACAGCGGTGCCATCCCCGCCCCGCCGGGCAGTAATCACGTTCCTGTGGCAACTGGACACGCTCACAGCTTCCTCGGAGGAGGAAGCTGTCAGAGGCTGTCGTGTATTCACTTATGCTTTACTGAAGAATAAACAAACAGGTTACGTCTCCGAGTGGTTTTTTGCCAGCAGCATCCTGACAAAGAATGGAGAGGAAGGGCGCTAAGCTGGTGGTGCCGACCGGACCCGGGAGTGCTGTGTGTGCCGAGGGCAGAAGCCTTGCTTTTGGGGCAACAAAAATGATTGCTGTGCAAATGTGGGGGCGGCTCATCTCCTTGCTGAAATTCGGCTCTGGGGGGCAGGCAAGCTCATCTTCTGAGGGCACCGAGGGGTGCTATGAGCCCAAAGGCCTTGTGCCTTTGCCTGTGGGGGTGGCATGCGGTTCGCTGGGAAGAAAGTGACTGGCATCTGCCCCGCGGTGCTGCCCTGCTCACGCCGTTCCTGGATGAATACCGGTCAGCATTAGGAGCTGGGCCACACAGTGTACACTGCCCTCCTCCTGGGTGCCGCTGGGTCCCGCTGGATCCCGCTGTTTCTGTCCCCACAGCGAGATGCTCCAGTGGACAGCGGTGGCACCGCTCTGCTTTGCAGTTCAGCGGCATCGCCAAGAACCGGGCTCCTTGATCCTCCTGCGGCCAAACCAAGACGTTTACGATACTGTGCTCCTAGCGCGGCCTCCACAGGGATCTCCTGCTGCCACGTGTCACCTTATCACCAGCATTTGTTCTTTTTACAGTAAGAGACTGGGTTGGGGGAAGAAAGGACTTTTCCTTTCTCTCTGTCTCTGTCTCTCTTTTCCTCTCTACAGAACTGGAGATCAAACCCAGGACCTTCACAGTGGACTACATCCCTAGCCTTGTCCCCTATCCCTTTTATATTTTTGAAAGAGAATTTCACTAAGTTGCTAAGTTACCCAGGCTGTGTTTGAACTTGCAGTTCTCCTGCCTCAGCCTCCCAGAGTCCTGGGATTACAGGCATGAGCCACCAGGCCCATTCTTCTGCTTGGAAAAGAATTGTTCCCAGAAGCCCGGGCTTCTTTGGCTTAAATCTCACTGATCAGGATGGGACTGTGTGTCTTGCTAGTCATCAGCAAAAGGGAATGCGGTCTGCATGCTCGTGTTACCTCATTCCTGATTTATATCCCAAAGCTAGGAAAATTCTCTATCCCACAACAAAATCTATGTTTTGGGAGGAGGTAGAACCTGCTGCCATGACTGTGTATGGTATTCCACAATGGAAAAATCGACATCAAATTACCTAGTTATTCCAGAGCACTGAGCAGTGTTTCATCCACAGTAGAGCCTCAGGAGATTATCAAATGAATGATAAACAGGGATCCAGAGAGCCGGGAGATAACCAAGAAAGGAGTCCAATTCTAGGCTACATGTCCTGGGAAAGTAACTATTCCCAGAGGGTAACACGATCATTTCTAATTCTTATGGCTGCTCCATAGGGTGAGTTTTCAAATCTGCATTGTTGTGTACAAGGAACTAAGGCAAAGCAGATCTACAATTATTGTAGTTGTCTCAGGTCATAAGCCTAGAATCTGACTTCTGCGTGGTTCCACACTCCAGGCGTCTCCTGTAAGTCCACATCCTGTGCTGGTGCGTGGTTCTCTGCTCTGCGTGGCTTGTCTGAAAGCGCCATTGTATTTAACATCCTTGGGGCCGAGAGGCTCTCTGGTGGAGGGTGGAGGTTGTCCCTTAAACACCTGTGTTCCTACAGGAATCAGAGTGAGGAGGAAGCCAGCAGGCAGCCAGAAAGTCTCAGGGGAAGGCAGGCAGCCTGTGGGTCTCTGTGCATCATTTTCTTGCTGTCCCTGACGCTGTTGGAAGCCGCTCTCCTCACTGCTGAGTTCGAGATGATGGATGCCGAGATGTGCTCAGGAGGAGCCTCCTGCTCCTGGCCGCCAAGGACGAAAGTCACCGGGATTCAGTGACTTGGGCTTCACTAGGGAAACACCACTGATGGTCAGCTGGGGGTGGCAAGGTGGTCAGTAGCCTCAGGGCCAGCTGTGTCTCTCCAGCGGCAGCCCAGGAGACTTTACAAAGCCGGGTCCTCTTAGGCCCTCGCCAGCCTGAGGTCTTCCCTGGCCTCCGCATGACTTTAGTACTTGATGCTCTGTCAGCTCTGCCCTTGGGGGCCCTCGCAACCCATCCTTGTCTCATGCTGTGTCACCTACCCCGGCCCTCTGCGAGCTCTCATGCCAGCCCTGCCTTGGAAGCCGACCAGAGACACCAGACTCAGGTCTGTTGCACTGCTGCCCCGTAAACTCCCTGGCCTTTCAGGGAGGGTGGCTGGGAAGCAAACTGGGTGACCTCAGTGTCTCCACCCACTTCCTCTTCCTCACTGTCTCTGTGTGACAATCAGGGTCTCTGTCCACCGACACACCCAATTCCTGTGGAAGGAGACCATTGAACCATTGCTTTCCTAACCCAGCAGGCAGCAGAGGGAAGAGACCGTGGTGGATTCAAGCTGGGGTCCTGAGCTGAGGGTCACAAAGACCACAGCAGCAGACATGGGGCAGAGGCCAGAGCTGCTGACGGCCTCAACAGGCACTGCCGCTTGAGCACGTCCCCCACCATTAGTGAGTTGGGTGCTTGGTCCCCAGTGAACAGTGCCGAGGAGTGGGACCTGTACGAGGTCAGCGCGAGGACTGCTGAGGAGTGGGCCCATTATCCTGATGGAGGGTTTGTCATAGGAGTGGATTCCGCCCCTTCTGGCTCTCTCACCCATAGGGAGCCACGTTACGGCCCAGCAGGAAGCCCCTCCGTCTTCAACCTCCCAGCCCCACAGCCCTGAGCCAAACGTAATTCTACGTTTATTAACTCCCAGCCTGCAGTGTTCTGTTGGAGCAGCAAAAGATGGACGGAGACGCCGGGCCGAGATGGAGGTTGCAGGTGGAGGGCAGGTGGGTAGGATGGAGAAGGAGTGGAAGGAGCCTGAGAATAAAGTGGCCAGGAATGAGCAAAGAAACAAACACCATAACCCTATCAGAAACTGCCTCTAAGAATGTCAGCCACTCCAAACAAGCCCCTCTCCTCCTGGCAGCAGTGCATCTGAAACGTGTTATTCAGAGAAGACAATATTACTGAAGTCAACGTGGATGGTGACAACTTTGTCTTCTTGCAGAATGCAAAAAACCAGTGCCGTGGAAGTGCTTCAAGTAAATGAAAATGAATCCAGTTCATAATCAAATAAAAATGTTATGGGTCTGGAGCCAGGGAATATTCTTATAGTGGGCTTTTTTCAGCACCCTAAATTTAACCAGATGGAATGCTTTTTAAAGCACCACCCTATTCAAACTTTGGAAGTGAAGAATTTGTCTTTTAATGGTAAATTTGCATTCCATCAAAAGATGGAACGCGTCATCCTCAGCTTACTTACTACCCAGAGATAAATTATAATTTAATTTATTTTGCTTTATGGTCTATGATGAATACCTAGATTTCAGAAAATTTATTTTAGACATGACCAAGTAGAGGTATACAAACAACATGGGCAGAGATACATGAAAAATGTGAGCTCCATTCCTGGTATACTGAAAGCCATGTAACCACAAATTCTTGGTGGTTTTAATATGAATATCTTATTTCACAAACCCCAAATACTGAGGTTAGAGAGAGAATACTCACTACCCCGAATATGGAAAAATTAATGCAGCTGAATTATTAGGAAGGGAGGATCTAGTTGCTGAAATGCAAATAGGTCAACAGCAAGTTAATGTAATCCAACTGGGAACCACGGGGTCTGTCAAAAGCGCTTGGTTTGGAAATAGTCCCACATGCTACTGAAGCAGCGTCTTGATTTCTGATAGCTACGACAAGTGGAAGCCGTGGTGATGGAATCAGTGCCCATGTTGCTCTAATTTCTATACCCTGGGGTACGCGCTCCACAGTCAGCAGGTGGGTGTAGACATCTGCTGGAAACAGAAGTAAAGACACAATTTTAACCATCAACAAATACTGCTTGAATGTCAACTGTGTACCGAGCTCTGTGGCAGGCTTGGGGAACGTGAGAGGTGACAGAGCAAAAGGCAGCGGGACGCTCGCGTGTGGAATTAATGGATCCGCTGAAGGATCCAGGTCTGCTAGCAGGTGTGTGCTGATTCTGGCCTGAGACCTACTCACAGTGCAGTGGACCCCAGAGAGAACAGCGACGCCACACTTCCGTGGGCAAGGGAAGGTTCACCAAGAAGGCTACACTTGCACTGGAGCTTTGCAGATGTTCAGGACTCTGAGCAGGAGGAGGAGGCAGCAGAGTGAGCATTCAGGCACAAGGAAAGGATTTCCAGAGGCAGGGAGGTGCCACAGCTCACCTGGACGGCAGGCGTTTTGCTTTATCTGGTCAGAGGGTGCGAGAAGAATGGCTTGGCCTTGGGGTAGGTGCTCGGGCTGCTGCAGCTGCATTGTCTCAGGGGCAGGGTATAAGCAGTGGGAATCTGTGTCTCACAGTTCTGGAGGCTGCCATCATGGTCTGATGAGGGCCCTCTCCCAGGTCACAGGCTGCCAGCTTCCCACGTAGCCTCGGGTCACGGAAAGAGAAGCAGAGAGCTCTCAAGGATCCTGTTTATGAGCGGACTAACCCCCCCATGACATGTCCTGAATCCCCACCTCTAATACTGTTGCACTGGGGGTCACAATTCCCACATGTGATTTTTGGGGGGAATAAACATTCATTTCATGGTGAGCCCACAGATGGTCCTGCACTGTAGGTGGACATTGTTAATGGGAACTCAGAACCCAATATGGAAGAACATATGTGGGTACACTCCTGGTCACTGGGAGTTCTCTATCACACATGCATCCACCTCCTGTGCACTCCCTACTTGCCTATTTTTGTCAGAAAATGACCTTCCTTGGGACATGCTATGATAAGATACTTTCTTTTGAGCCCTCTCTCTGGGCTGTCCTGGTCCCCTTGAATGCCAGTCCATTGAAATGGGCTCCCATAATATATCCATGTACCCTAAAAGGAATTTTATAGCCTGTGACATGAAAGAGCATCAGAGAGATGGGCAGTGATCCCAGTCTGGGCATAAAAGAAGATTCCTCACAGTGACATGGGAGAGGAGGAAGGGTAGTTTCACATATGAAAGAAGTAAAAGATGAAACCTTTTGATTTGCCATCTATGGAAGGGAATCAGGAAGCAAAGCCAAGAGAAAGAAGCACATCAAAGGAATACAAACTAAAACGAGCCCTTGGGACGAAAGGAGCTTCATCAAGGCAGAAGACTGGCATGTAGGAAAAACCTTAGGGAACAGACCTGATGTGGGACATTCTGGGAAGAAACAGACTGGGACCCCTTGGCGGAGAAGTGGATCAGGCCGGCACAGTGACTCAGATGGTGTCGCTGGCAGGAACACGATGTGCTCACTCTCGACACCATCTCCAAGTTTAGACTGCAGATAATTAATGAGCTCATGTTACATATCAAAAAGTTATCTAGGGCCGGGGATATAGCCCAGTGGCACAGCACCTGCCTGGAAGTACAAGGTCCTGAGTTCAATTCTCGGTACCACACACATAAAAAAAAATAAATAAAAAGGTTATCTAAACACTCCAAAGTCAGAGGTGACAACTCTTCAGACTACATAGGGTTTTGGGTGATTATATTCAGTCCTATTTATATTGCGCTTTTGTGGTTGACTTTAGAATAAGTTCCTCTCTTGAATAATCTATCAGGTAGATATTTTATTTCTTTATGAAAATATATACTTGTTTATCTGTAGTAGGAAAATTAAAAAGTGAAAACATCCCTTAGATGAGAGAAATTTTGGTGTGTGTTTCTGGATGAATAGAAAAGACTTAGGTACCACCTAGAAATCAAGTAAGCTAGTAACAATTTAATATGATCCACATTTATATAGTATATAATTATAAAACTCCACCCCAAGGAATTATATCACATTTCCATTTGAGACATTGTACGATTACTAAAACAAGAGTAATAAAATGAAAAAGAAAAATTCAAAATTATTTTAGGAGACAAAAAATTCTTGCTGTGTTTCTAGAGTAATTCAGTAGATATGCCAAGAGCAACACATTGTTAATTATATCACTTACCAATGGAATAAAATAGAAGCAGTTCACTGAAGGTTCATTTAAAGTAATTTATAGTTGCAAAACACTATCTTAAAACTTATAGTGTCTTCCATTTGGACCACTGCTATTAGCAATAAAGCTGAAAGAAAAAAAATCAAAATTATATTAGCAAAGGACAAAAAGGTGATCTTTCTGTGGTTCTGGACTTGCAAAAGTAGATTCATTGGACGATGAGATTAACTCACAGGATGATACACTTTTGTTTCCAGTTTGTGTGCAGAAAGCCAAACTGGACTGCCAGAGCAGCAGTCCTTGTACCGGCGGAGTGTGCTCAGCCGGGCAAGCTCCTGGATGGAGGCGACTTCTGGGAAGTTTGTCCTTAATTTTCCCTCAGGAATTTCCTTGAGGCCCGCATGGTGGGAGGGTGAGGTTCAGGGCTGTGGCCATCAGTGTCCTGTTCAGCTCCGTGTGCGTGTGTGTGGATGGATCTAGAACTGTCCCAAGTGTCTGCCAGATTAGGGAGCACTCCGACCAGCTCTGCCATGTGGAGAAATCAGGACAGAGTTGGTTGGTCCTGACCCTGGGAACATGGCATCTGGACCAGGTCTGATGCTGGACCCTGCATACTATCACAGTCTGAGGTCTCCTTCCTCAGGGGCTGGGAGGCCCAGAGGAGCCCCTTAAGTTCGCTCTTGCTTCGTGGTCCATTGGGAATATAGCATACGTAAGGGTACTTTTGAAGCATTTGCATCTGTGATGGTTAACTTAACCGTCACCTTGGGAGCCATGCAGGGAATTAGGAAAGCTCGCGAATGGCTGCGTCTGCATGTGCCATGGCGGCATGGCCTTGGGTCCCGAATCCGGTCCTCAGCGCCTCCCCTCTGGTGCTCTTCCCTTCTCTGCTTTCTGGTACTATGAACTAAGCTGCTTTCCTCCACCACATCCTCCCACCACGAATTTTCTGCCTTGAGTCAACTGACCATGGACTAAACCTACTGAAATCTTGAGCCAAAGGAAACCTCTCCTCCTATAACTTGTGGGGGTTCGGCATTGTGTCCAACAGTGGGAAAGCTGACCAATACAAAATTCTTCCTTGGCTGTTCGGACATATTCATATTTCTAAGTCAGTGAGGTTTCTCTCAACCAGGAAAGCTGAATTGGATAACACTGAGTGATTCTATTGACTTTTTCTGAATGAATTTGAGTTTGTATCTTTTAGGTATTCAGCTCTTTACATGCACGGTTGATCTTTTCATCTCCTTTGAAAAGATTCTCTTCTACTTTTCAAGGATACTTCCTCTGGAAATTGAATATTTAGGGAAAATTCACTTCTTTGAGGCAGTTCAGGAAAAAAATGAAATTTCTTCTCTCTTTTCTTTCTCTTTCTTTCTTTCTTCCTTTCTTTCTCTCTTTCTTTCTTTCTTTCTTTCTTTCTTTCTTTCTTTCTTTCTTTCTTTCTTTCTTTCTTTCTCTTTCCTTCTTTCTTTCTCTATCTTTATATCTTTCTTTATCTTTCTTTAAACCAACTATAGCTCAGGTGTTTCAGCTTAGATATTCTTAATATGACCATTCAATATGCCAACCAGTTTTGCTGTTGTATCCAGGAATGTGTGTACATTGTTTTCTATTATCTTTAAGATTTCTTAAGGTTTTAACTTAACTACAGCAATTGGTTTCTTGAAAACTCCTGTAAATTAATCTAAGATTAATTGTACAAGATTCTTGTCAGTTTTGTTAAACTCCATACAGACTCTGTTTCCTAACGCAGGCATCAAATCCAATTCTAAGTTGTGACAGCCAAGAATGGTGACCTGAGTGTTCATCCTAAAATGCTCACCCTGAGGGCAACATGTTGAAGATTTTTGAACCTCACATTAGACTTTTCTGAAAGGCATCTTTCTATTTTTCAGCCTCTCATGAAAGCTGCATTGGCATGAGCTGACCTTCACTCTCTTTTTATTATTTTAAAGAGAAAAGAATAGAAACAAAATAACAAAAACAAAAAGACATAAACAACCCCAAAGCAATAAAAATGATACAGAACTTCAAAACAAGGTGATAGGAAATTAACAATGGTTGTTGTATTACATACTGTTATCTTCAAAGTGATTACTCAGATAACCAGATATAGGCATGTAAGACTGATCAAACAATTAAACATTAACTG